ATTAATATCTAAATCAATATAAATTTCTTATTATTTTGGGATTCAGTGATTGGATTTAGGTAATTTTAGGCTTGTTATAATCATCTTACGAAGGCGATTATTTTCGTAATTAAATTATCCAAAACAGACCACTGGATCGGGAGTTATTCTCTTTTAAAGATTGTCCATAAAATAAACCGTCTGCCAAATGAGATTGTCTTTAAAAAAACTTGTCTATAAATTGATTGTCTATGTAATAAGGTGTCTATGAAATGATTTTCTGTGAAGTGATACGTATCCACACTTATATAGCGTGCATATCTAGAGGTTTAACTATAACGATAATTGTTTCTAGACCATAAATTAATTTTGAAAAATCTATTCAGCTTACGTAAGCTTTGGGTATGAAATATACTATGTAAATCAAATTCATACATAGTTACTATAAAAAAAGATTTTTATATAAGAGTTGATCTTTTAAAAACTTTAATTAATAATTTCTTTAAAACTTAATTACAATGCAGCTTATTAACCAAATTTTAAAGACACACGAAATATATATAAAAATATTATACAAGCGCCGCTTATATAAATTTTTTATTTATATACAAAATCTAGCTTTTAAATAAAAATTGGTTATTGAACATTCTTACTTGCAGTAAAAAACAATATATTATTAAAATATACTTAACAAAAGGCTCCTTTTTATGTTAAAGCATACGTTGAGTTGCCTAGATTATATATGTAACATGCGAATTTATAGCATCGAAAGTTTTTGTAAAAAAACCATATGTTAACAATATACTTGATATGTCACATCCCCGACGTATGCACATATAGTGACTATCATAAGCACCACCTAGTGATTCTTTATAACAAACATAATAAAGTTAAAAATTTTAAAAATTTTTGGTTTAATACAATCATTAATTTACGATTTAAGGTTTATAAAAAATAATTTTTTAAATTTTTTAAATTTTCTGTTCTATGTAAGAAAATTTGGCTAAACAAATTTTCTTAAAACAACTTTGTCTAAAAAATTTTAAAAAAATCCAAAAAAAATTATTTTTTATAAACCTTAAATCGTAAATTAATAATTGCATCAAACCAAAAATTTTTAACAAATTATTTGACAAAATTTTATATTATACAACAAATTTCAATTTTATTATGTTTTATTATAAAAAATCACTAGGTGGTGCAATAATTATGATAGTCATAGTCATTGTAAGCCAAGCATCTCTATTCTCGCCTCAGATATAAATCAATAGCCGTGGAAAATGCGGCAAACCCCGCACACCCCATCAGAGCAGCCTGAGGCCCCGCCTTAGCAGCTAATACTGCACCAGTTATGCATCCCGCAGCTGTACCATTATATACGTCGTTTTTGGCACGATACTATTTTTTCGAAAATATTCAGAATTTGTCAAAGTGGGGAAAATGCGCTAAAATAAGGAAAAGGCAAAGCGCAATAAAAAGGAGAGAGAAAAAGAGCAAAAAGATTTGATAAACTACTTTTACAAACATACCCCCTCTATAATACACTCAGTACCAGTAAATATTGCACCAACGATAGCAAAATTTTTAGCCGTAGAATAAGATCGTTGGATCATATCTTTCGCAGTAGCTTTTAATTGTTGTTTCATTGGCTGTTCATATATCGATGGATCGACTGTTCCCATTTCGAAGGAGGAAAGGAACATCCCGAACACGCCTCCAAGTGCAAATCCTGTTTTATGAGAACATGATTAATAGGTGAAGTATCGGATAAGGAATTACTTTGTTTTAGCTTTACCTGCTACACCACTTAGAACAACTTTGAAAATACATGAATCTTGAACCATTTGCATATAGACTACTTCCTTAGGAACTGGTTCTTTATTCGGGAATGCCATATTATACGTGTTTGAAGATTCAACGAGATTCGAGAATAAGTAAATTTATTGATAAGATGTGGATCATGTGATTTAGTAAAAATCGTTGTCTAATGTCCAATAAAATTTGAAGATATTTCTGAAGATCAGATGTCGCAGAATCAGGGATCAAATTTACGACCCTATTTAGTTGTAAATTTTCAGATATCAGATTTAGTAGGCGAATTTTACCGTTCTATAGCGATAGATTAAGAAAGTAACAGGTAAAAGGAAACTTTTCACAAATAATTTCGTCGCTTATTGTTTTTTTTGAAAACAATTATATAAAAAATAATAGCGGAATAAATCAAGTTGGATAATTCTAGATAGCAATCGGCAAAATTTATCAGAAAACTCTTTAAATGTTTAAATATGTTGTATTTTTTAATGGTTAATTCGATTCGTGATTAAATATTTCTTATTTTATTGTAATCGCAGAATATATTATAGTTATTGTATGGGTAAGTTAGTTACACACCGGTTCATATTAAAGCACGTGGCCTTCTGCCACGTGATTGAATATGAATCGGTGTTTAACTAACTTGAACTAATACATACACACTACATATCGAATCAACTTTCAAGATTAGGTGTAACGTAACACAATCAAGAAGATTCAAAACAAACGTTCGTTCTGCCAAAAATC